CTCACACACACACACACACACACACACACACAATCGACAAGAAAAAAGAGTGGCAGTGTATATTACTATATTTCCATGTTCTGGCAGAAGATTCATTCCGATTTTGCTCATACTACACACAGAGACCAACATTGCCACGCTTCATCAAGTGAGCAAAATGGGATTGAATCTTCCCCTGGAACATGGAAGTATCCACTGCCACAACATGGACATATACACTGCCAAAGACCGAAAATGTTGCAGTGTATATTTCCATTTTCTAGCAACAGATTCATTCCCATTTTGTTCATCCTGTGGAAGGAAATCTCTCTCTCTCTCTCTCTCTCTCTCTCTCTCTCTCTCTCTCTCTCTCTCTCTCTTTTTTGGTGACAAATTTATTTTCAATGTATCTGTTTGTCGCCGGTGTCTTCCCTCATTGGCAGGCTGCTCAGTTGAAGATGCACACATGAAACTGTTAAATTCCAGAAGTGTCGAATTCAGCGGAGACCGCAAGAAAATAGTTCTGATTTACAAAGGATCCGACAACGTGCTGATGCGTTGGCCGATTCCCCCCCGAATGCTACGTGTCCCTCACGTTCTACAACAAACACCCCCCCCCAAAAAAAGGGAAAAAAAAAACACCCTCAATGTCGCCCTGGCCAGATAATGGTCATGCCTGGGGTGGGGCTGGTGCTGGGCCGTGGCTTCGCCGTAGCGGGTTCACTTGTTAAGTACTTATAATTGATTGAATAGTAATAGAATTGATACTGGCATACAGAAAGCAGTTCGGAGTCTCCGGACATGAGAAAAGGAGCCTTACCGAAGTGGAGTTTCTTATCAACACTGTTAACGTGAGGATGTAATGCAGAAGTAAGCTGGACTTCGTCTGGCCAAAGAACTTTGCCAAGGCAGGGAAGACAAGATGAAGAGGACTGAGGATCAACTGCATAAATGAAAAAAGAAAAGAAAAAGTCACGCTTGCAATCAGACTTCAGCTAGCAAACTCTCTCTCACCCTCACACATACAACTTTTTATATCCAATGTAAAAACAATTCACTCAATAACACTCGAACAGATTACAAGCACAGGTAATGGCATTCCCGACATGGAAGCAAAGCACGCGCAGGATGTCATCAATGTGATGTTGTTTAAAGCTGATAAGCTAAAAGTAAATCAAACTGAAATAGAACAACACTAAACTAAGACTAAACTGCATAGTACCAGTGCTGCACCACTGCGTTTCATTTGGAAAGAAGAACTTGGAGAACTTTGGACATTGCTTTTTCACAGCCACAATCATATTAAAAAAAAAAAAGGAAAAGCCTGGGTAGCACCACGTGCGCGTACGTACCCAAAAATGTGTGTACGCATACGTATTTCAGATATATATAGTATCATAAATTTATATATGATATATAGTATCACATACCATATTATACGTATAATATATTAAATACTACTAATAATACTATCATTACTGTTATGCCAATATAGAAGACACCGGAGAGGTAGACGAGATGGCGGAGGAAGGCAACGATGGGGAGGAGGAGGAGGAGGAGGAGGAGGAGGAGGAGGACGTGGACGTGGAGGAGATGGCTGAGAAAGACGACAATGGGGAGGAGCAGGAGGGAGATGGCGACGGGGAGGTGGATGGAGGAGGGCAACGATGGGGAGGAGCAGGCGGACGATGACGACGGTAGAGAAGATGGAGAAGGAGGGAAGTTGGTGGAGGTCCTGGAGGATATGAACGTGGAAGACAACCACGGGGAGGATGAGGAGGAAGATGACGACAGGAAGGTGGGGCAGATGGAGGGCGAAGACGACTGCGAAGAGGAGGGAAGTTCAAACTCCGAAGTGAAAAAGAAAGAGAAAAAAAAAATGCGGCAGGGGAGGACAAAAAGAAAGAGGAGGAAAGGTGGTGGTGTTGATGGCGGAGCAAGCCGACGACGGGGAGGAGGAGAAGATGACATAGGGGAGGAGGAGGAGAAAGATGATGTAGGGGAGGTGGAGGAGATGGAAGAGGAAAATGACGACGGGGAGGAGTAAATGACGAGTCAGGGAGGAGGAGTACGGCGAGGAGGGAAGGTGGTGGACGATATGGAGGAGGAAGACGACGACGTCGAGGACCAGGAGGACGAAGACGACAGCGAGGTGGAGGAGACGGCTGAGGAAGATGATGGGAGGTGGAGAAGATGGAGGGAGGAGAAAGAGGACGAAGACAAGCAGTAGGTGGAGGAGATGGAGAAAGACGGCGATGGGGAGGCGGAGAACGAAGATGACGACGGGAAGGGGGAGGAGGAAGACAATGACAGGGAGATGGTGCGGTTGAAGGCACCCTCTCTCTCTCTCTCTCACACACACACACACACACACACACACACACACACACACACACACACACACAGAGCGGGGTCGGGGGGTAATGCGGGGCAGGGGAGTAGACCTTAAGGTCTACGTCCCGCCTCGCGCTACCTGTGACCCCGATCTGGCCACCCCCCTGGCCACCCCCCTGCCCACCTCCCAACCCCTACCAAGCCAAAACAAGCCCGGGAAACGGCCCCCAGCACGTACGTGAATCCGCATATGCATGTACGCGGAACCAGCATGTGTGTACGCCGTGCTACCCAGGAACAGAGCATGATTAAAGAACATCATACTTTAGATTTTAAAACATCAAAGAAGTGACTTCATTGTGTGAGTTTGTTCTCTCCTCTCTTTGCTGTTGTTCTTTGCATTGTCTTTGTTGATTTTTTTTTCACTTTGTTCTATTCAAGCCAAGCAGGGCTTGACTGGTTTGAACCAAAAATCACATACATGACTGACACTGCTTCGAAGTTTTAAGTCATCCTAAGCTGATTCTGTTGAATGGGCTCATGGAAATTAAAAAAAGTAAAACCCTATACAAGATAGGTGCATAAAGCTGCAAAGGTAATGGACTTGTACAACAAGTATGAGAAGTTGCAAAGCTGATGGTGCGGATGGGCCTTGAATCCTCAAAGAATAGGAGCAGCTTCTTGGATCCTAGCACCAGGCCCCACAGGTGCTATGTTTGGGCTTGGAATGCACAAACCTGGCAATTAAACTGTCCAGGTTCCTGTTTCACTAGGATGAACATAGTACCCTCCAATGGGGCTTGGCCCTTAGAATCAGGCAGTATGCCAATCGCAAAGCTAATGGTGTGACAGGTCCTCAAATTTTCTTAGAATTACTAACTCCTTGGGTCCTAGTACCAGGCTCCACTGGCAACAAGTCCGCTCTCGTGAACAAGGAACCTGGCCATAAAAGTGAGCAGGTCGTGCTTCCTTGCGCGGACATAGCGCCCACAAGTGCCGCTGGGCCCTATAGAAACACAAAAAGGATCATAGTTGAGGACCTACCAGTGCGAAACGAGCACCAAGCAGTGGCCCTGCTGTCCTTAACACTCTTGGACAAATGAAAATTCCATTGACAAGCATCCCAATTCCTGTAAGCAAGGTCAGGAAAAAACGATGAGAAAACAGAGTGAGTAAGGGCCTATTCACACTAGCTCTATCTGAAATATATCTGACCGCATTTTTGGCTGGACTTGGACATATCTGACCAAAATTACGTCCATAAATAATTGAGAAAGTCGTAGTGCGAGTATGCCCTCACTAGCTTTTTCCAAGATTTGGTACCCTGCCCTTACCACTCTTGTGAAAAAGAAGATTCCAGTTGCAAGCATCCCAGTTCTTCTCACACAGGACAAAAAACCAAGCTCAGAAATCTGAGCGAGTAAGATACCACATATCATTAGCTTCTTCTAAGACCTCGTACCCTGCAGTGATACGCCCATTGAAGGAGCAGACCTGTAAAAATATTAAGGGTAGCACCACAGTACCTGTGGAAGCATGAAGTTGAAGACAACAAGAAATTCACTGTGAAAGTTCCTGGTGAAAAGCGGTGGAGAAATCGGGCCATGATGGTTCGGGTGTGACTGACAAACTAGGCCAAACTGAGGCCCTCCTATCAAGATGGCCAATCTGCTGGCTAGTCTTTTTCAGAGAGAATCATACGGTGCTGGACCTGTAACAATCCTCACAAAGGCGCGGGATCTACAGAGACCAGAGGGCGTGGTGGTTGTTTGTTTACAAACTCACTCCTTGAACGACGATCAGGTCCAGAATGTCGAGAGGCATACTCAAGGTGTGGAGGAGAAATAAGCTGCAAAGAATTAAGAGCCCACATCCGGGGATGGAGTTCTTTTTTTTTTTTTTTTTTTTTTTTTTTTGGTTGAAACAGGTCCTTATGGTCCTGGCTCCATATTCACTCTGGGAAGCGTCAGTCCGGTTCCTTTCCACCGGCAAGTCAAGAATTGAAATACATGGTGAACACTCTCACGCCTCCTTCCGTCTGGCTGAAGGAACCCTGACCAGCATTGATTGCTCCAGAGCCGGAGGATTGACTGTCAGCTTGCTGTACCACTTTTCCTCTCAGAATCTGCTATGACTCTGTCAGATGATTCGTGTAAAGCAAGAAAAAAGGAGAGTTGTCTATACTGTTGAGATTCTAATCTCAGTTTGCGCATCACTGGGTCCTCGTCCTTGCTGAAGTTGCGCTGTGCCATTTTTTCCAAATCAACCTGTTCTCTGCCACAGTTGCGATCTTTCCCTCTAGAAGGCACCACCTGGATCGAATCTCAGTTTCCGCCATTCCCAGCAGTAGAATCTACATTTCCTTCCTTGCCACCTCAGTGCCCTCGATAGTCTTGGTACACCTCCTTTTCCATACTACCCATAGAGCCAGCTTCCTGAGCAGGTGAAACCAGACTTCCTTGCCTCCGTTGAGATTATTAGTATTGTTGGACAGGAGCAGAATGTTCAGAGGAGTCCTGGACGGGGGGGGTGATGAGAAGAGGAGGGACCATAGGTCATAATTCAGAGCTGTCAGGGTCCATATGTTTCCTCCTCTTGTGGAGCCATTGATTGACCGGCAGCGATGCATGCGCTATGAGCCACTGCATGATTCAAATCCTAATCGGTCTAATAGACAGGTACTTCGTCCAAGGGATGGACATGGGGTCTGTGGGGTCTAAATTCAGGATCTCCTTCCATTTTCCTTTGAGTCTGGGGTCACGATCTGTGGTCTGTAGACCCAAGTCATAACCAAATTTGACATCGCATTCAAATATTGTCCTCGTTCTCCCGGACTTACCCTGCTTCCAAACCCACTCTTTCGCGTTGAATTCGAGGTCTGAAATGTTAGATCCGGTTGGAAGATATCTGGACCGCTTTGCTGCATTGGAGGAGGAAGAAGCGTCGGGCCTAGATGGTTTCCCAAAAGAGTTCTGGGAAATATTTTGGGACATGATGGCCTCGGACCTTATGAAGTACTACGAGCAGGTGTGGGAATCCGGGTGCATGGGGGAGTTGGTTGGACAGGGCATCCTCACCTTGTTGCATAAAAAAGGGGACAAAAAGGACATCAGGAATTATCGGCTGATAACCCTGCTTACTGTTGTGTACAAGCTGTTAGCGAAGGCCCTAGCAAACCGCCTGGTCCCTGTCCTGGAAACCCTTATTCATCCCACTCAAACGGGGTTCATCAAAGGGCGAAGAATCCATTACAACATTCTCCTGATGAATGAGCTCCTCAAACTAACAAGACAGAACAAATGGAATGCAGCCGTAATTTTTATAGATTTTCATAAAGCATATGATCACGTGGATTGTTTTTTTCTGGATAAATGTATGGAAAAAATCAACTTCGGTCCACATTTCCGAAGATGGACCGCAATTCTGCACCAAAATGCCATCACGAGAGTTCCGGTAAATGGAATGCTGGCTCCGGAAATCCACCTGCAGAGATCAGTCCGCCAAGGAGACCCACTAGCCCCCTTCCTCTTCATTATCGTAATGGAAGCACGGGTCGCAAACCTCAGCACAAACAAGGATCTGCAGAAACTCCAGATTTTTGCCATTCCAGATAAAGCCATCCCAGTCTGCTCTATGTTCGCTGATGACGTGACTCATGGTGGATGCTTCTCCTACAAATATGGAAAAGATCAGAAACCTCATGAAGCGTTCACCGTCGTGTCGGCATGACAGTCAATTGGGGAACCAAGACCTTGGGGTGGTGGAGTCACCACCAGGGGGTGCGCCCTCCTGAGCAGCCACGGTTTAAATAAATGGCTACCCGCGGAAGCTCCAATCCGGGTTTTGGGCATCATGATGATAGCCTTTGGCAGGCCAGCCTTGAATGATGACTGGATCTTGAAGCCCGGGCTGGAAAAAATCGCCCATTGGAATGACAAGCGGATATCGTTGATGGGCAGAACCTTGGCCATCAACAATGTTGTATTGGCCTCACTGTGGTACAAATCTGCGATATGGGCCCTTAGCAAAGAGGTCGTCAAAGCATTGAAGAGACAGGTTAATGTGCTGCTCTGGAGGGGGGACATCACTCTCTCTAATGTGATCACTAGAGTCGCGAGGCCGATCGTTATCCAGCCGAGAGACAAAGGGGGTCTGGGAATTTTGGACCCGGTTATCCAGTTTACGGCATTGACGGTCCAATGGATCAGGCGGTTGCTATTCACCCCCCATCTCCCGTGGGCGGCCTTGGCCCTTGAACAAATTGCACGATTGGCCCCCCAGACCCCTTGTGAGGTCAACCCGCTGACCTGGCTTGAAGACCGCTTCTGGTCCATTCCCCACCCCTCCAAATCCCAAAGGAACACAGAAAGGGGGGCTGCAGGCGAGACTTGGTTGGGGACGACTTCTGGATCAGAGCCCTTCACGCGTGGCGCCAACTCCCCCTGCCAAACAAGGGCAGGCCGTCCAGGTGGGAGGAGGTGGCAAGACAACCACTCCTCGGGAATATACACATCATTGATCGGTACGGGAGGGTATACTGCAATTCGGACTCCCCGTGGAACAGCTGGGTCAAAAGGGGGGTGATAAGAATCAGGGACATATGGGACGAGGGGGAAAAGAATTGGCAAATAAGACAAAAGTTGAAACCTCTTCTAAAACATTGCCACCACGTGGAGAAGAACTTGGAGGAATTGATATTTTTCGTACCCTTGGATTGGGTGCGCATCCTGCGCAAAGGACTGTCTACAAGAAAGAGACTGGGTGGCTATCCCGGGTTATCCAGAAAGCGTGGGGAATGTGGTGGTGGTATACACACAGGAAGCACATGTGAATCTCTTTCATCGAGAAGATGACAATAGGTTAAAGAGGAGGTATCACCCTGATCTGTTGAGATGGTGGAGAAAGACAGATTTACACCGCATCCGAGAACTCCATTCGCAGGAGGACTGGTTCACTTTCCTTCCTGAAACCCCGCTTGCTAAGCTCTCTTTCGATCCGGAGGAATCGCAATGGAATATGGCAAGTAAAACGGGGGTAAACAACCTTGTTAGTGAAATCTGCCTACCGCCTCCTGAGACCAAGGACAAATGTGAAAGACACTGTGAGAGAGTGATGGCTAACCGATCTGAATGTGGGAAGGGACGCAGTTCGACCCATCCGATGGTTCAAGGCCACGAGATCCAAACCGACGAAACAGGCCTCGCTGCAGTAGCAGATAGAGCACTGCTGCCTCCCTACAAACAATTGGCTAATAGATCGAACCTGCCTAGAACAAAAGGGCTTAGCACTGCCATGGTGTCACTCTTGTTTGGCCTCCTTTCGTCACCGTAAGATCGCTGAAACCATAGAGCACATCTTTCTGCAGCGCCCGGGGGCGATTCTAACATGGCGCTGGTGGGACAGGATCTGGCGACAGCTCGGCACTACATCCACATGGTCATGGGACTGGAGAGCCCTCTTATGTGAAGCCTGGTCTTCTCCCACAGACTGTCCCTTTGAAAATAATATGTCCAGGACGGGAAGGAGAGTTGTCATTTGGGCCCTTCGGCAGAAAAGGTGCATACACACGATTGAAGGAGTCAGAATAGAGGGGGAAGAGGTCACCGAAATGGTTAAGCAATATATTCAGGAAAAAATCATGGCACAGTGGCAAAGTGTGAAAGCAAACTGGATCTGTTTCAAACGAAAAAAGACATAATGCAAGCCATCAAACAGTTTTCCAAGGAATGGTTGGGGAGGGATGGCAGGATAGCCCACATTTGTTGGGAGGGAGGACAATCTTCAAAAGGGGGTGGCGACGTGCTCAAAAGGGACTATGGTATCTTCTTTAACGATTGGAACAAGGTAGATGCAGCAGTTCCTCTTCGTCCTCCTCTTGATTTCCCCAATCCCTTCCCATGGTCTCTCCATCGTGGATCCACAGTGGTACGGAGCGGTGCAGGCTTTTACCTGCTCAGTCAATCCCCTCGTTTCAAGGTAATCAATGTTGGCAGGATGGCAACGAGTTCAGCTGTTCAGGGATCTTCAATAGGTAGTCCAGCAGGAGAGTAAGTACAACTTCAGGGTATGTCATGATAGCAGATCTGCAGGAGAGCAACTCTATCTTTGTATACCAAGAATGATGACAATGCTCAGGGACGTTGGACCTTGTTTCCAGCAGGTGCTGCTCCCCACCAATAGATGGAGCCTCCCGAGAATGCTAGGGGTGCCTGTTCTTATCAGCACCTTTAGCATCACCTCGGGGGATAAAAAATAAAAAAATAAATAAAAAAAAATCCGGTTGGAAGATTTTCCAGGGCTTGGCCTTTGAGACCCTCGCTTTTCTCAATCGGAAGGTTTCTAGCATGGTTACCAACCGGACATCCGGATCCCGATCCAGACAGTCCGGTGTCCGGTTTGGAGGGTCCGATTGGATCCCGATCCAGACAGTCCGGTGTCCGGTTTGGAGGGTCCGGTTGGACCCCGATTTCAAAAAATTCGAATTTTTTTGGGGGGGTTCCCAGGCCGTTTACCTGGGCCTGGGGTACCCCAGAAAGAGAGGATTGTTGATCTGCATCAGATTCAGTCTCCCTTGCTGTAGAGTGTGCTGAAGTCAACTCTACGCCCGGGTCTGGTTTCCCTGCAGCCTATAATAATCCTGTTCTTTATGGTTTGGTTTCTGGCAATGCAGGTATACCCCCTTCTTGAGTCTACTCCGCCAATC